TTTTATATGAACTTTTCGTTTTAGAATCATTCAAAGAATCGTCCCCTAAAGTTTGGCCACGTACTTAAATAACACCCTGTATAGAGATATATACTATATAGGCTCTTAAAGTTATATTTGTGACATTATTTCCATTTTGACATCCTATATCCAAAGATAATACATTATCTTTGCCTATATCTTCTATTACAAAACACAAGATCTTGAATAAGTTTTGCAATTTTTTTGGTGGGTTTGCAATATAGCAAAATATTTATTAAATTTTATTCTGGTCTCACAATCTGTTTATAAGTGAAAGTAACTTATTTTTCTTTGTTTTTGATAATTATGTACACTATAATTTGATACATTTGTTGAGTTTGATATTTTTCAATGTTTAACAAAATCGTGACCCAGATAGCATCTGTGATTTTGTTTTCCCTCTGTGATTTCACACTGAAGTCAGTATAAGGTCAGATGTGATTTTCAGTCATTCAAAATCATGTATGATTTAATACTGAAGTCGGTATGAGATCACGCATGATTTTCAATATAAATTCTAAGTTCCAAATCATGCCTGATTTCATACTGGGGTGAGTATGAGATCAGGCATGATTTTCAGTTAAGGGTAGCTATTCCATAAGTTCCAAGCTTACAACACAGCAAACGGAAAATTATAGAGGTATATAGGATGACGCCACGTTTGAATATCGATTTCTAAATCTCCCTACGGTATAGAGTTGTATTCGTCAGTCGAGCGTTTCAATACTCTCCACAGTATATATACGACCTCTATAGAGGTCGTAATTTCACTTTTGAACTAGTATTAATATAAAAAATATTTTATGCTTAAAAAAACTATATACGACATGATTGTGATTTTTTTCATTTTATTAATTAATTAAGCTGTGTTGAATATTTTTCCTAAAGGAATAATTGCCAATGGGCCATTAATTCATTTGTTCGTAGATGCTACAATAACCTGCACTGGTGTGTACTTTTTCATCAACCAGATTTAAATATTACAAAACTAACATAGTTTAGGAGATAGTGCAGGGTCTACCAACAGACCTAATTACTAAATTATTAAAGTTTAATAGCATATCGATCATTTTTCAACATAACCTCTTAAATTTTTAATACAAATATAGGTACTTTATATAATACATAAATATACTTAACATCATATCCTCTGTGCATTACATACCTGAGTTGTTACGGTAAATAAAAATCAGACAAAGGAACCAAAGAAAGCAACTATTTTCAACAAAATCATATGGAGAAATGAGAAAATTCATCCATCAAAAGATCAAAACTTCTTGCAATATTAGGTACACCCTCTTTTTATACTCTCAGAAATATTGACTAGAACAGTATTAGAGAGACTCCAGTTTCTATAACTTGGTAGAGTAAAGAGAAGTCGAAACCGTTGCGATATTGCATTGCGCTGTTTTTGTATAATTCTCGGGGACATTAACGAAAATCATTGCCAGTAAAATTCGAAAAGCTTGAGTTTCTATGTCTCTGAGGAGAATAGGAATCCGAAGTTGCTGCACCATTGGACTGAACCCTTTTTTAATAATTTCTAGAGACATATATGACTGCACCATTCGACAGGGTCGAGTTTCTACTCCTCTGTTGAATATAGAAAATCAAAATAATGTATCTTGTAAGACACCATTGAGTTTGACTTTAAATATAGTCGTGCATAGGTATAGAGCCGAAAAATATAAAAACAAAGCACGATTCAATACAGTTATGATAAAACTTTAAGATTTGATATTCAAACGCGGAGTCATCCTATACACTTCTATAATTTTTCGTTTGCTGTGAAGCTAATTTTATTTAAGCTTATAAGCTATAGCTTATATATAGTTCTCGTTTAAATGTAATGTAATGTAATCTATAGGGTATAGTTGTTTATTTGTGCTTGTCCCATTGTGTATCGTCGAGGGGACTTTAGGCCAGCGGTCCGTTAATACCCCATTACCCGCACAAGCTATAGCTAAGGAGTAGGAACGGACTTCCGGCTTAAAGTCCCCTACGAAGGACTATACACAATGGGACAAATACAAATAAACAACCATGGTTATGGGTATGCATACCCACGTGAGTTTCGATCGGGCGCGAATATTAGTTCAAAATCATGTTTGTTCTCATACTGGGGTCTGTATGAGATCACGTATGATTTTCAATATGATTCTAAGTTCCAAAGCACGCCTGATTTCATACTGAGGTCAGTATGAGATCACGTATGATTTTCAGTATAATTCTAAGTTTCAAAGCATGCCTGATTTCATACTGGAGTCTGTATGATATCACATATGATTTTCAGTATAATTAATTCTAAGTTTCAAAGCACGCCTGATTTCATACTGGAGTCTGTATGAGATCACATATGATTTTCAGTATAATTTTAAGTTCTAACTCAACCATAGAGGAATGGCGCCAGGTAAATTGCGCCAGATTTAAGAAATCTTTTTTTTGGTAAATACCTAAATTTTTAATCAAAAAATTTTGGTATTTTATTTTAATTTTTTTATAGCAATTTAAGATTTCCTCCTTCACTGGAATTTTGATGATTTGATGATTTTATTCTGACAACAGTATGATTTCAAAGCCAACGTCAGCGGGACCAAAAATCTCGACTGATTTTACTTATTCTTTAAAGTTTTCTTTCTGCCGGTTTCTACCGGTCTCTTTACAAAATCACATCTGATTTCATTCCGACATCAGTATGATTTCAAAGCCAACGTCAGCAGTAACAAAAATCACATCTGATTTCAGTCTGACTTCATATTGCTGACATTCGCGTATCCGCTACTGACGTCAGATTCTCGACAGACGTGACGAACGATTTTCACATCTGATTTTATTCTGACGTCAATATGAAATCATAAATGCTAGCTGGGGACCCACAGTGCGTCCCCCCTACGGAGATACCGGCCCATAACGGACGCCCGGGCCCTGGAAAGAAAAAAAAGAGGATCAAAAATTTCAAAACACATTATTTTCAACTGACACCGACATCATTATTTAAATCGGTAAATGTAAAAAAAACATTGCAAAAAAAATGTAAAAAATCCTTTTTTTCTTCGTAAACAGTACATTTTATCGATGTTGATCAAGATTACCTTTTTTAGTTTAAGGTTTAAGCTGACTAAAAATAGTATTGTTGTGCCTTTATAGTACAGGGTGTTAAAAAAAATAGCATTCAACTAAATAAGCCAAATTTGATTAAAACCCAGACTGCAATGAAGGTTCGAAAATATTCCAGGAATATTCCCTATCGCGTAGGAATAATCCGCTTCATTCTAGGAATATTCATTGGGAATATTCCTAGAATGATCCTCTAAAACTTCCAAGCATCATCTAAGAACATTCCCAGTGAATATTCATTAGTTTAGTTGCAATACCTCTCACCGTTGTTTACGCACGCTTGATAACTATATATACCGATAGGTTAATAATATCAGTTGGAGATGTGCGTCTGTGATGGCACAGCTAAACAATGATTAGAGTGGGACTGATCTACTCAGTAACTAATAATAACTAATAATGGCTATACTTAAGTTAAGTTCCTGGGTAGAAGAGGCAATAAGGGCTGGGAATAATCCCCAAATTATATCAAGGAATATTCCCCTAACAATCCTTGAGTCTTCACAGGTAGATAGTTGGAATATTCTTTTTTATGATGCCTGGGTTAACAAAAAAGCGGACATTTAATTATGCCAGGAATATTCCTGGGAATATTCTGGGACGCTTGGAATATTCCTGGGAATATTCCTGACATGTGCAGGGAATGTGATTTTGCGTTCTGGGAAGTGCCCATTTTAAGGAAACTTTCCTAGTAAACAATATATTTAAAAATTATTCAATTCTGCTTTGTAGTTCCAAAGTTATTAAAAAAAAACGATTTTTGTGGCGTCCGTTATGGGCCAGTATCTCCGTAAAAATTTATAGGAACTTGACAAGTTCAACTTGTCATATTATTTTTATGTGTTATATATCTAAATCTGGGAGATAGCACACATATTCTGGGACACCCTGTATATTATAATTATAATAATATTAACCTTAAGTATGCAACATTCGCCTTTTATGAAACAGTAGCTGGAATTCCCTTTTATGACAGGATATGATTACATTGAGAATGTATTTTATACCACTGGTATTTATAAAACTTGGGCGGGACAAATAAGACCAAATAAGCACAAATTTTTTAAATAAAGTCATAGCGAAAACCAGGATGCTACTTAAAAACTATCCAGGACACCCCAAAAAGCAGCACATGAAAACAGGACTGTTGGAAAACCCTACATTAAGTACCTAGTTAATTATCTTTGTTTTTACTTAAAAACACAGAACATAAAAAGCTTTATTGCAAAATTTTAACCAGTAATACTGTCCTACTATGGAGAAAGGAAGTAACTGCAAAAAAATGCAAAATGCGTTTTCTTGTGCTATGGTAAAGCTATGGACATTTTGTAACCGGATTCAACACAGAAATGCAGTCAAATATCTCATAAGTTAAAAAAATCAATTAAATACCTACTGCTTTTTATAAAAATGTAGTTTATGCTAATTTTTCACAAATTTCTTGTTTAGCAGTTACTGCCTTTCTCCATAGTAGGGCAGAATACCCCTTCAAGGTTTTCTATGATAATAATAATAATTAATTTATTTGCCCAACGGAGTAAAACTCCAATAACATAATAGTTTTTTTAGTGGAAGCAAATAGTTAACTATATATAGTTTCCGTTCTGTTTTGATCTCTTGCTTTTTGGGTGTCCTGGTCCAGGACTCCTGGATAGTTTTTAAGTAAAATTTTAGAATTTTCTTAGAATTTTTGTGGTTATGTTTGATTTAGTTGACAATTGGCAGCTCTGTTGATAGATGTGTTTGTGATTGACAGTTCTAACCCCGTTGTTTTTATTTACATACATTTTTAACTTAGCATGGTATTTCCAAGGTTTATAAAGTGACCATTTATAGAATTTACTATTGAAATATTGTTAAAAATGCCTACCGTAATAATACTGGACGTTTCTTTGTCCATGTCAAGACCGGTACAATTATCCGATGGAACCGAGACTACAAGAAAGCAAATGGCAATTGCAGGAATTAATGCATTTTTAGATCATTTAAGTATTCATTCAAAGCTGGAGTTTATTTCATTGGTAAGTTTTTAGTTTAAATTATAAGGAAAATGACAACAAATATTTTTACGTTGGCTATTCTGTTAGCAAAGTTCACCAAAATCCACAGAGAAACTAAAATAGATTGAAACCTAAAAAATCTTTAAGAAATATCATAAATACACTACTGAGGTATTTTAAAATATGGACAAATTTTATTTAGGTATATGTAGGTATTTAAATAAAAAATAATAAAATCTGCGAATATAGGTCCTACTGTAAGAAAGTGAAAAGTGAGCACTTAAATTTGATGCAACAAAGTCGCCGGTGAGTTCGGGATTGCTACACCGGTGAGTTCGGGATTGCTACACCGTTCACACCGTGCGCACTTAGCAGTTCGGGTATGCAATTAATGTAAAAAGTGTGATTGTAATTGCGTTCGGGTATTTTAGTGTGGTGTGAACGGTGTTTGCACCAAACGCCCCGACTTGTGAGCTAGGGCTTTGGTGCGGGCATGCGCTTTAGGTAGGTATTACATTTTTGAATTAAAAGTTTTACCCATGGAACAACACAACAACAGGTGTTGTTCTATGGTTTTAACCTTACAAATTGAAAGTTACAATTGTTAACAATTCTGTGATAATAACAACGGTGATACCTACATACCTACAAATATCACACCATAAAAACACCGAAGCGTTCGGGTTGCGAATCATAGGTTTCTCTTGCGAATGCACTTTTAACTCCCTACTCCAACACTACACCGCACTACACTTACACCAAACCGCAATCCCGAACTCACCCAACCCAACCTTTATAATCTGTGGGGAGATGAGTTGCAGGCTGCAACTTGCAGTGACTTTCTTGCCTCTAGGGTGTTCACCATGAGCTGGTCAAATTAGCTTAAGGCCAATAAATTTGAAGAAGAAGAAATTCCACAGAATATAAGCAAATATCAACAAAACAAACGAATTAATTTGTGTGAATGTAGGGTATAAGCCTATGTCTGACGGTGGAACATCAGATGTTGCTGTGGAATTTAGTATCTATTTATGTTTTAATCCTATTATATGAGGCGCCGTTTGTGCCATAATTAATCTCTCCTACATATATTTAATTTTGCATATTTATGTATTTTTTACAATATATATATTTATTTCATATATTTATACATGTTTTCTATATATATATTTGTATTTGGTTTTAATATATTTATAAAATTCGACTTCACCCGTTGATCGCTAGAGGCGCTGCTCAACTGATCAAATGTGTCAACGCTGTAGCTAGGGCCTCACCGAATTAGCCAATGGGAGGTTTTGTTTACTAATTTAAAATAACGGTAAACATTGTTTTCTCTGTGTTCTCATTATTTTATGATACAAAGATTTAATTTAAGTGTATGTTCTTTGGGTGTAGGTATCTTGGATTTAAAGCGCCTTTTAAACCGCTGTTGTATGGTTTTATTTAGGGAGACACGTAGATACCCGCAATATTCCGTTTTATTAATAATTTTAAAACACGGGGTAATTTTTTTTAACCACGCAGAGACCTTGCAGAACAAAACGTTATTTCAATTCGTAAACAAAAGCTCCTATTGGCTAATTGGGTGCAGCACTTGCTACAGCGTTGCCACATTTAATAAGTTGAGCAGCGCCTCTAGCGATCAAATGGTGCAGTCGAATTTCATAAATATATTAAAAGCAACTACAAATATATATTTGTGCATTTAAATTTATATTAAAAAATAAATAAATATATATATAAAAACAAATATTAAAATATGAAATAGGTACAAATACATATAAAGTAAAAAATAAATATATATTTAGTAAAAAATAAATATATATTCAAAATTATTTATATATTGGAGAGTTTAATTATGGCACAAACGGCGCCTCATACTATTATTTTTTAAATTAAAAAAAAAAACTGGATTTTCTCTTTAATAAAAAAATAAAAAACGAATAGGTACTTTATTCTTGATTAACTACAGCCACATTTATGTGGCTCTAATCAATTTACAGTTTAGTTGGCCTAGAATTTGGGGCCTAGAATGTTAATCTAGGCCCTAGATTAACATTCGTAATTAATTTGTTATCAATAGACCTATCCCATAAAACAGACTTTTGGATAGCGCGTGCCTGAAGAAGGGTGGTATCTCTTTCTCTTTTATATAATTAAAAAAAGACGACGTGCCTTTTCACGCACGCGCTATCCAAAAGTCCGTTTTATGGGATAGGTCTATTGATGATCATCCATACCTAAAGAACCCATAATACAATTTTGTACTAAACTTGAAATAATATTTTTTAATTTAAATTTAAAATTTAATATTAATTTAATAACATATAGGTAACCCAAAACACAATTTACTCCGTTTTGGGTTGTATTTTGTAGTTTACTCCAATTCTGTTTACAATTTAACAATAGTCCAGAATTGGTGTATTTTAGGTTAGTTAGTGGTGGAATCGCGAACAAATCTTTCAAAACGTGCAAGTCAGTTGCACCAACATGATAGAAATAAAGTTCCTTTTAATTTGGCATTTGACGTGCGCCATGCGGGAATTTTCGTTGTCTGTTTCAATTTCCAAAATGTGTTAGTACCGCTGAAATCGAAGTAATATAAGTAGTGCATAGAAGATAATCCACACTGGTTCCTACATCGTGGTTTAATTGTCACCGACGCAAAATCGCTGTTTTTCTTATACCCAGTCCTAAAGGTTATGTTAAAATTCTGCAAAGATGGGTGAAGTAAAAGTGCCGAGAAATGGAAATTGCAAGACCGTTGCGATAAGGTACCGATTTGTATTTGAAAACGTGGGTGGCGGAGAACCCCATCTGCAATTTTTACCGCATCCTCTACTTAAACTCAAAGTAGATCCTCCCAAGGTTGAAAATGAGGAAGAACAACTAAAGCCTGAGGATGTTAAATATGAAGACGACGTAGAATACTTAAGGAGCTTAGACCCAAAAGAATGGAAGAGCCAGGATCATTATAAAGTTCTAGGAATACAAAAATTGAGGTTTAAAGCTACAGATGATATTATTAAAACAGCCCATAGAAAAAAGGTATTAAAGCATCATCCTGATAAGCGGAAAGCCCAAGGAGAAGAAATTAAGGCTGATGATGATTATTTCACTTGTATAACATTTGCATATGAAACTTTAGGCACCTTACCAAAAAGAAGATCATATGATTCTGTAGATCCAGAATTTGACAATAATATACCTTCCAATAGTGAAATAAAGAAAGATTTTTATGAAATATTTTCATATTACTTCGATTTAAATGCCCGGTGGTCTGAAAAATCCAAAGTCCCTAAACTAGGGGGACCAGACGCAACTCGACAAGAAGTAGAACGTTTTTATTCATTTTGGTATGATTTTAAATCTTGGAGAGAATATTCTTATGAAGATGAAGAAGATAAAGAGAAGTGTCAAGACAGAGATGAAAGAAGATATGTAGATAAATTAAACAAGGCGGAAAGGTTGCGTAAAAAGAAGGAAGAAATGTCTAGAATCAGGGCTTTAGTTGACTTAGCTTACAATAATGATCCCAGAATAGCTAAATTTAAACAGGAAGAAAAAGACAGGAAATTAGCTGCAAAACGTGCTAAACAAACAGCTGCACAAGCCAAAAAAGAAGAAGAAGAACGTATTATCAAAGAGGCCTTACTAGCTAAGGAACAAGCAGAGGCTGCTGAAAGAGCCAAAATTGAGGCTAAGAGACAAGAAAGGGAACTCCAGAAAAAAGCTTTGAAGAAAGAAAGAAAAATACTTAGAGATTGTTGCAAAACAAATAATTATTTTGTTAAGGATGGTGAAGATAACTTGGCTAACATAACAGCATTGGAATCAATCTGTGAGAGCCACAGTATAGAGGAATTAGAAGAGATAAATAAAAATATGAAAAATAACGCTAAATCTGGATTTTTCAAAGCATTAAAAGCAATGGAAGTAAAACGAGAAAAAGAAATTCAAGCGCAACTTGATGCTAGTAAACCTAAAAATGATATTAAAAGTACCACCGCAGTTAAGAAGGTTGTTGCAGAGTGGAATGAAGAAAATATTCAATTGTTAGTAAAAGCAGTAAATTTGTTTCCAGCTGGCACAAACCAACGTTGGGAAGTAGTATCGAACTTTATAAATCAACATGGCAAATTTTTAGCAGATAGTAGCAAATTCAACGCAAAATTAGTTCTGGCTAAAGCTAAAGATCTACAAAACACTGATTTTACCAAAAATAACTTAAAAGAAACAGCAAACAAACAAGCATTTGAAAACTTTAAAAAAGATAAGAAAAATGTTCTTCACATAGATGAATCTGATATTTCTAAAAATTTAGATGATACCAGTCTTTCTAAAAAACTAGAAACAGTTCATATAAATGGAGATATCAAACCTGAACCAAAACCAACAAAGTTAACCAATGGAGATAAAGCTGGCTCCCCGAAACCTGAAACACCATGGACAACACAAGAGCAGCAATTGCTAGAGCAAGCTCTCAAAACATACCCGGCCTCTACAGCAGAAAGATGGGACCGCATCTCCGATTGCATACCTAACAGGAGTAAAAAGGAGTGCATGAGAAGATACAAACAACTAGTGGAGACAGTCAAGGCAAAAAAAGCTGCCCAAGAAGCAATTAATAAATGATTAATGATATGCCCAGCCTATGCATGTTTTATTTATTATGACTATCCTAAATGTAATAGTTTAATTAACAGTTATTTATAATGTAAATTAATTGCAAGAATATCATACTTTGTTAATAAAAACGTATCTTAAATAAAAGGTTTTATTTATTTAAAATCACCCATAAGGTTTTTATATAAACAAAATGTTATTGTTATTTTTGGTAGGTAAGTATTAAATTGGACTATGTATATATAAAAACAACTATGTGAAAGTTTCACGTAATTTATTAAATGTTGGCAATTGTTTCGCTAGGCAGTAGCTTCTTCAAAATGTATTAAAACTAATACTTGCGCAAAATTTATATAATAAATATTTGTTTTCTAGGTAATAATTTTCATGCCAAATCTACCTGTGTTACATAATATTCAAAAAGGCATTCAAAACTTCCTAGGGGAAAATACCTAATCTATTGTTAACAATTTTATTTAAGGGGCAATATTTTAAATGTGTGATTGTTTTATATAATGCTATTGTTGTTTCTTAATTAAAATAGGTTTAACAGTGGTGAATTATTTGTTTCGATTTGATTATTGAGAATATTATCAGTATTTTTAAGTTTGTTAATTTCTAAAGATTTAATTTTGTGCCATTATTTTCTAAATGTAATATTTTGAAGTTGTTATTAATTGTATGGTTTTCTGTAATTAGATGTGTCGCGTAAGCTGAATCAAGTTTTTGGTTTATAAATGATCTAAAATGTTCTTTAATTCTGGTATTAAAATTACGGCCAGTTTGTCCTATATGACACCAGTAATTGCCATTATAAGCTAGTGTTTACACAAAATAGCTAAAAAAGTACCAGAATAAATTTAGATTTTGGCTTAATAAAAATCCATGTGGTTAATAGATACTTATAGAAGGTCACTATATTACCAAACATTAAAAATTAAAGACATCACTAAGTACAATATATATTTTTTTTATTGAGGTACAGAGGACTAGTAATTGCCATGACCATTTAAAAAAAAACCAGTAGTTGCCAGTGTACTTGGCTAGTAATTGCCACTAATTTATTTTATTAAATAAAACAAAACAAATGGAAAATGGCTTAACACCTTGGCAAGCAGCCAATGCAGATTCTTTGCTTTCTTGGGAATAGCGAAAAAGGGCTTGTTTTTTGGTTCCATGTTGATCAATTTGGATTTTATACCTGGATCAATAATTGCCACTAAAGTGAACCAATAATTGACACATTCAAAAAGAGGTGGAAATTACTGGATTCTCTTTGAATATAATGTTCTTATTAATGTCAAAGATAAACTAAATATTATAGGTTAATTTAGAGCTTTAATAAAGGTCATAATACGATAATCCAAAATTCTCCAGTAGGTAATAATATTTGCCATTTGTGGTAAGTACCTGGTAATTACCACAAATGGCAAATATTGGGTTAAAAGAAAAAAATGCTCCAGTAATTGCCACTACTCTAAATCAAAATACTCTTTTAATTTAACGAACAATTTATATGCGTTTCATTTAAACTACTTAGCATATATGCATATTGCACAAACAAAACTCAAATTGATTTACAACATATGCCAAAAATAAAAATAACTTTGGTTACTTTTAAGAAGTACTTACTTTTCAAATTTCCCATCGCTGAGTGCGTTGCGTCTAGGTGCATTTATTATTTGTTCCATCCTAAGCAAGAGGTTAAACTGCCACTTTCGCCTCAACTTCTTTGCCGTGCGCTGGACTGCCGGCAGAGACTACGACGCCTGTGCGCTTGCGTCTGCGCAAGGTGTCTGGGCCGCTGTCGGCAGGTCAGACCACCCCGCGTGTTTCCTGGCCTGTTCTACCCCGTGGCTCGGTGGCGGCCTGTCGGCGTTGGCACCGGGGACCGCGGCGTCACTTCGTGCCGCTACGTGCAGCCAGCCATTGGGTTTTAGTTATTAGTTAGTATTAAGTTAGATTTAAGTATAATTAGCTGTGTTCATTTCTCTGTGGCTTGCCACTCTCCCCACCTTTTTCTTAGGCCCGTGCAAAGTTATTAGGTACTTTGCTGCACAACGTACTGTGCGTCGTTGAAGAGGGGGCTCAGGTTGTGGTGGACGGCTGGTCTGTCTGCCATGGCCTCTGCGTCGCTCCTGCCTTTCCTTTGTCCTCCCGTCCCTTCCTCCTAACACACAAAGGCATGTGCCTGCTCCCTAAACGTTAATTCTTATATATTGATTAATCATTTATTGTATACTATAAATAAAACAGCCATTTAGAGGCATGCATCCCATGGGATTGGGAGACAGAGTGGTTGGCAGAGGCTTGCGGGTTGTGACTCGGACATCGTGACCGGTATCAGCTTCGCTGGTCCGGCCGCGATGCCTGGTCCACCTGGGGCCTTCCCCTCTGTCTTTCTTTTTTTTTATTATTTGTTCAAAAGAAAAGAGGCGTTCTACTGGCGCATAGCTTGGTAATATATAATTATATTTTATGAACAGTTTTTTAATTAGTTTATATTCATTAAGCATCTCAAGATTAGTTCTCTAGAGAAGCTTATCGTTCAGGTATTTAAGTACCTCAAGTTTAAACTGCTGTGATGAATTCCAAGCACTGGAACCGGATGCGGTTGCTGATGGTGATGCTGTCATCATTTGTTCTTCCTGTTCTCTGAAATCAAAAAAGGTGCCTTCCTTTTCACGTTCTTTCAGCAATTCAAGTCCTTGCTCCTCTGATTCTAAATATTCTAGCGAGGCTGGTGGCAGACTAGTTTAAACTGGTAATTTCTTGGAATACTGGAAATGTTCTAAAAATACTGTCAGTCCTTTTCATCCCTTCCAGTAATTAAAATAGTGTTTCCGCATTACCAGTACTTTTCCAAGTATCCAGTATTACTTTTTAATAAAAATCTGAAAAACCAGTACCCAGTACCAGTATTTTCCAATTGTACTTGATATTCCAGTACCAGTAACATGATTTTATAAGTACTGGCAGTAGAGTACTTTAAGTACTGAAAGTACTCAGTACCATACTTGCAGTATTTTTTCTACTGAGTACCACATATAAATATATATAAATTATAAGTGATGGGAAAATTTGTTTAATAGCTATTTTATGTCTTTTATTTTTCAGAATATCAGTAATTAATTGTGCTTCATATCCATTGTTCACTGCTATTTGTTTTATTATATTTAATTCATCGTTAAAATTCTGATATGGTACCTACCTAGGATCATTGAGTAAAGCTTAAGCTGCTATTTTTGATAACACGCATGCATGGATAAATTGTGTATAACTACTTATATCTGTGTAGCTATAGCTATAGGTTTGTGATATATTTTGAAGGTGTGGAAGCCTTTACTTTATTAAATAGTAAGATCATGTTTATTTTGTTCTTCTTCTATTGTAAATTTTATATTAGGATGAATATTATTTATAAACTTATGAAAACTAATTAATTGTCTTTTTGTACCTGTGAAGCAAGTAATAAGTTTTTTAAATATATGCTTTCTTGGATGATTGATTCTATATGGTTAAGTATTCTTGGCAGTGGCGGATTGTGGATTTTGGGTATACCGATATTTTAGTTAGTAGACATGGGACCCACACCAAACTTGTATGAGTTTATAATGACATTAAATATACAAGTTCTGCGCAAGCAGAATTTAAATTGAAGTTTGCGAAAAAAAGTTAGTTTTTCAGCGCGCCTCACCAGCCCTGGTGCAATTCATAATTTACTACATTTTATCGGCAAATTTCAAAATTTATTTAAAAAATCTAAGAATTACATATTTTATACCATTTTAAATTTGTATTATTCTTTTAACTAAAATTAAAAAAAAATAAAAATGTTATAAAATCTGTAAGTCTTGGATTTTTTAAATAAATTTTAAATTTTATCAATAAAATTTAGTGAATTATGAATTGCACCATTTTAATTTGAATAATCTTAATTAGGGGTGGCAGGGGACTGGTAAGGCGCGCTGAAAAACTAACTTTTTTTGGCAAACTTCAATTTAAATTCTGCTTGCGCAGATCTTGTCTTTTAATGTCAATATAAACTCATTAAGTTTGGTGTGGGTCCCATGTCTACTAACTGAGATATCGGTATACCCAAAATCCACAATCCGCCACTGATACTTGAATTTCTAAAGTACTTTTATATTTACATAGTTAATATGGAGTTTCATCAAGTAAAGGTCAAAACAATTAATAATATTAAATTGTTTTTTTTAATAAAATAAAGTTACACAATTTACCCATTTATATTTAATAACTTCCATTCAGAATATGATATTAATATAAATATATCAGTTGATACACAGCTGTGTATAGTCGTCGCGGCGAATGTTTGAAGTTGCGTCATCAAAGTCGAATGTCAAAAACCGATTTCTCGACATACCTACGGTAACCTAGCGATTCCTTGGATTATATACGTAAAATAAAACAACAATAATTGTAATGTCTGTACTTGGTTCAGAATTTGATGACGCAATTGGAAACATTCGCCGTAAACATGTTTTCGGGTTTTAAGCCGCGTCTCAGTAATTCGGTTTGACATGGGTGTAAAAACTGAATTACTATAAGACGCAGCTTGAAACCCGAAACCCTTTTTACTTCTAAAGAAAATGACCACAAAAGCCTTGGAGAACTTTTTTTTATTTAAGAGGTAAAGGCCAGTTTAATTAGACAAAGGTTGCGTAATAATAATAATAATAATTACAAGAGTATTAAAATGGGATTTAAAAACTGGGAACAAAAATCAGCGGTTCTCAAGTATTTTGATAAAATTGAAAACCTGTAAAAACCAAAAATTGTTATAATCCTGTTGGTTTTGAAATAAAATAAGTTTTACATCTGAACACACATTAATCTACATTTTCATTCAATTTGTGATTTTTTTCGCTTGCTAGATTTTGAAATACCACCACCATCTTTTGTTTTTCCTATAGCCGCCATATTGGAATTTTCCATGGTTAGATAAAAAAATAAAGGAATCAGACGAAATATCAAACTACATAGGT